AATATGATACACTTCCATGGAAAATGGTATTCTTACTGTTGCTCGTGTACCCAAGCTGGAATTTCTTAAGGCTTCCAATTCTTCGGTCATTTTAGAAGCTAAGGCCTGAAGATAGCCCCGTGCATCCTTTTCATCACTGACCCTAGAACATATACGTATAAAGACAGGGATAAAGTGAAAAATAAAACAAACAAAGAAGTTTCAGTGTGACATGTATTATTTTAAAGCTTCATAGAGAAATAAGTGATAGATAAAGATACTCTAAATAACATTTCAAAGGATCAGCTGGGAAGAAGTTTACTGATCTGTCTAGTTATATATAAATTAGAGTTGGTAATGTTTAAGAAAGTTTGAATTACTCATATCTGATAAGTTAGTAAAACTTTACCCTTGAATCACAGAATTAAGACTCTTTAAATATAACATTTAAGACATATGCATACATGTTTGAAGCTTTCTAAAGAATACTATGATTTCTCATTAATTGGATTTTGCCATTTCATCTTAAAAAAATACCCTTCTTAAAATTGAAATATGCCAAATTTAGAATGTTTGAAGTAGGATATTCTGCAAATATTAGGGTTGTTTTGTAATAAAGTGCATCTTTTTTCTAAATGGTCAAAAAAATAAGAGAAAAGATTAGTCTTTTCTCAGTTTCTACTTATTGTCTTATGGTTATCTAAATTACGACTTTAGATAGAAAAGTGTTTCAGTTATATTCTATAAGACAAATTTTATATTTTGGAATTTCTCAAGAAAAGTTTACATTTGTTACACCTCCTCTAAAATAAGAGGGAAGTGTAAGTGGTGGTGGGTGAGGGAGCTCAGCATATGAAAATTTACAGAAGATCCTATTCTCAGGAAGAATAAAAACCATTGATACTGAGCATATGGAGAGCCATGTTGCACAGAGGGAAAAAGTGGAGCTGAAATTTGAATGCTAAAGTGTATTCTAACATTATTTTTGGAAAGACAATTTGTCTTTGTACAGGATGGTTGCTTTCACAGTTAAATTCCAGGTTACTGCAGCTATGAGGAAAGAGTATTTTAGGTATATCAGTGTGTCTCCATGACACATGCAGCAAACATGTTTAAATCTTGACCTATGCTTTAGCATCTTTTCAAATTTAAACTTGAGGAGTCAAGTTCCTATCTATCCTTAAAGAGGCCTTTTATTCTTTCTTTTTTTTTTGAGACAGATTCACACTTTGTCACCCTGGGTAGAAAGATCTGGTGTCACAGCTCACAGCATCCTCAAACTCTTGGGCTCAAGCAATTCTCCTGCCTCAGCCTCCCAAGTAGCTGGGATTATAGGCCACAATGCCCGGCTATTTAAAGAGACCCT